TTTAGTCCCAAAAATAGTGCTTCTTGCAACACATTATCTAGACCGTCCATTTTCAAGATTTTTATATGTTTATAGATCTACTAGACTTGAACCATTTTTGGAGTTAAAAAATTTATAATTAAATATGAAAATAGATTTTCAGATAATCCTAAAAATGTTTTAAGCCAAAATTACATGTTATGATAAAATTTGGAGGTGTGTCGTAATTGGATTATTTAAGGTTGCAACCTTATAGAAACCACTCTTTATAATTTCTATAGTATTTTAACTCAAAATCATGTGTTCTGACGGGCATTTTGAAGTTAAATCAAAATATGTTGATAAAACATTAAATAGTTAATATTTGGAACACGTTTGTTTCACGTGAAAATATTTCTTGTGAAATATTTTCATGTGAAAAATTTCTTTGTGGTTAGATGTAGAAATATTTTCACACTAGTTGGTCCCAGTGTATTTTGTTATATTAATCAGCTGTTAATTAATGTGAAAATATCACCACACCTAACCACATAAGTATATTTTTTCACATGCCCTTAAGTTTATTTTAACAAATTTCCTTTTTTGTTTTATATTTAGGAAAGGTTTTTGGCGCGGCTGCGTCACATTGATATTTCGTTTTGATATATGCGCAAGGTTTCAAGTGGCATGGTTGTTGATGCATGTTGCTACACTTGAAATACATCCATTGGATGTATTGAGGAAGGGAAACTCTGCAAATCTGCCTATGAAACCATCACAATCATGGATACGGAGAAAAATGAAATGGAGCTTTAAAAGTGGTCCATCTTGTATCATTATTTCTGGATCCTCTATTTAAGTGAATTAGATTTACATTAGTTTTGGAAAGATGCATTAGATGTAAAAGGAAACAGGTTTACTCGCGCAGGAACATATGGTACATTTTGGATTGGTCCGAAAACAATCCACAGATTTGCAAAGAGAGAGAGAGAGAGGTGTGCCCCAAGGAGATGATGATTAAATCTAAGGTGCTGATAATTAAATCCATCGTTCTTTGGTCTATGAAAGCTAACACCTTAGATCATCACTGAACCTTTAAAGAAAACAGTACCATTTACAATACTTCTATGCCAGCTTCATGTTTTTTGCTTTCTTCCTTTTCAAAAAGCCAAAGAAAGAAATATTTGTGGTGGCATGATGAAGAATATACTAAGACTCAGGTAACAAGGACTGGCCTGTTATGCAATCATGGATATCCAAGATTTCAATTCGCCTGTTAACAGCTTTCCTCATCTTTATTGCCACCTTTTGTGGATTAAATGCCCCACAAATCGTCACTCTGCTTTGTTTCCTGTCTATCACATGGCTATCGATATCTACAACAGGCATAACGATGAAATCACTAAAAATAGGTTTATAACACTTTACAACAATGAAATATTGGGAAAGCTTTCTGTGCGAATCCACCCACATGCGAGTTATATGTGACCCCACATCTCGTTTGTTCGATCTGAATGGACAGCTATAATTGCTTTTGTCACAATGTCACACCAAATATTTTTAATTTTTTTCTACTGATATTTTTTAGTAAAATTTGGGGTGTCCCATATTCTTATTGGGGAGCTCCTAGAAAAAATAAATAATTCCCATAAAAATAAATAACCAAAATGCCCCTAAAAATTTCAGAGTAATTCTGATAATTTTCCATCAAAGGAATTTTATTTTATTTTTTTTCGTATGTACACCCATGTCTAATGTATACTACATGCGTCAAATTTTTTACAAATTAATTTACAAAATAAAAATTAAAAATAAAATATTCTAAGCCATCGGATCAAGATCCATGCTCGAGAGCCATCTTGTGACATTGTGGCTCAAGTCATCATGGCAATCTACTCATATCGGACAACTAAGAGCAGGGGGTCTCATATGTTTTATATGTGGGTGGGATCGCATGTAAAGTTTTTTGCGTATTTCATTCTTCTATTTGCTTCGAAGTATTGTGGTGCAAATAACTCATGAAATTGGAAAAGTATATAGTGAAATTATTTACTTTTGATACAAGTATAATTGCTCATTGGATTTATCATCAGACAATATGAGTGTGCCGTTGACTAGTTTCAATGTTCCAAAGGAAATTTATCAAAGTTTATGACATGTCAGATTGTTGGATTCGACAGCTGACAATCCTTAAAAAATAGAAGATCGTGCATTATAACCTGGGGTGAGATTTGTATAGAACCTAGGCTCTAAACAATCAAATTAAAGCTTACCTTCAAATAGTATTGAGAAGTATGGTTTCACTATTGGAAACTTTTGTGATAGATATAAAATATATTTTTATTTTTATTTATAAATTTGAAAGCTTTAAAGATACTCTAAAACGACAGATCTATAAAAAACTTTGAAATCTTGAAAATTGACGGTCCAAAAATGCATTACAAACTACATTATTTCCAAATGTTGAAATCCTTTTTTTTCTCATGTCCATGCATCTTGATGTCGAGATAATCAATTTGAGGATATGAGCATCAAAACAGCCTCTTCAAGTGAAAATTTTGAGGTAGGCTATAGGTTGATTGTTTAGAGCCTCGGCTCTATATAAACTTTTGCGTTATATTATTTACTTTTTATACAAAAACTATGGAATCTAGGTAACTTGTACCACAAAGTATGAAGAACTTTTTTTTATCTTTGAGAATGGTCAATAGCACAATCTTAACGACTAGATTTTACATCTAACAAACAAGAGTGATTATCTAACAAATAAAAATGATTATGACTTCTCTGTACTAAAAATAAATATTTTTATGGGTACAGTTTGTATGGAGAGGAGGCTCTAAACATTCAAATTTTGCCCACCTTTAAATAGTATCAAGAAATATAGTTTTAATATTGAAAATCTTTGTGATAGCCTTAAAATATATTTTCATCTTTAATTATAAAATTAAAAGCTTCAAAAATAGTGTAGATCAAGCATATCTATGAAAATTTGAAAATCTTGAAAATTGGCAGTCCAAAAATGTATTACAAGATGCACTATTTCTAAAATTTAAAATCCATTATTTTCTCATGTCCATGCATCTTGATGTCGAGATGATCAATTGGAGGATACTGGACATCAAAACAACTTCTTCTAGTGAAATTTTTTAGGTGAGCTCTAATTTGATTGTTTAGAGCCTCGGCTCTATATAAATTTGTTCCTATTCTTATAGCATACTTTTCCATAGAATTATGGCAACAAGTGTATGTAGCTCTCGGAGGAGCAATAATGAAATGACGATGCGATAGGTACTTGGGTCGTGGTGCTTTTTATAGTTCGTAGTCCTATTCAATATCATCCATCCACTAACGGATGGTGATGAAAGCTCGTGCTCATTTCTATGAGTGTATGGATTATAGTGTATACTTGCGTGCGCTACAAGTGATATCGTTTTCAAATGACTGCACAAGAGCCTTTTTGTGAAGACTTTTTTAAGGTGTCATTTATGAATGCACCTTGAAAGAAAGTGAGAAGCACCTTCAAACCCTGCCAAAAGATGCAATTAAAAATAAAAATTTACCTCAAATTAAAAAATTGAAAGCTTCAAAAATGGATAGTGCAAATAAATTGTTACAAGATGTACCGTTTTTTAAACTTTAAATCGTTTTTGTTTATATACCTATACATGTTGATCAATATGATAAATAGGAGGGATTCTAGTACTAAAACCATCATTTACAATAGGTTTTTGAGATGCATGTTGCTTGAAAATATTAAAAATAGACAATCTAGATAAATGTGTTGCAAAATACATTATTTTTAAGACTTAAAATCATTATCAATTAATTAGTTTTTCAATGTCCAAAAAACTTTCTCCAATAAATTTTTGAGGTGCACCTCTGGGGCTGACAATTAGCTAGGTCAAGCTTGGCCGAGACCACTTAGCTCTAGCCAACCTCGTACCTGTAGGGCTAGCTTAGGCCCGGCTTGGCTTGAGCCCGCTAGATTGGACTGGACTGAAGAGTCTCTGGCCATCTCAGTGCCGGGCCAAATACAATTCAAGAAAAAAAAGAAAAATTCAAGGAAAAAGGCGAAGGCAGGCCAAATTGGGAGGCACACCCCGGGCCTAGTCTTTTAAGGCGGGGCGGGCCATTGCACGCCTCACTTACGTGGAACAAAGTTGACAGCTTGATGCCGTTGTTACATGAGCTTAAATGAGTGCATAATCAATGCGTCACACAAGTAACACAATGTGTACGGAAGTTCTACCAAATTATTAATGTGATTGTTGCCTTTTGCTGGGGGCACTAAACTACAAGAAGCATTGATGGATTTATAGGGAAAAAGTTTATATAATGTTTGGCATCTCGTACCTGCATTTTAAAACAGAAAAAGTTTATATAAGGATGCTAATGTAGATGCACCTAAAAATTTATCCAAAAAAGTAATTTTAATGTTGAAAAATCCTTTGATTGATCATAGATGTATAACTATGAAAAATAAAAAGATTTTAAATTTCAAAAATAGTGTATTTTACAACATATTATCTACACCGCCAATTTTTCAGATTTTCATATGTTTATAGATCTACTTGATTTTAACCATTTTTGAAATTTAAAATTTTATAATTAGACATAAAAATAGATTTTGAGATACTCCTAAAAACATTTTACATCAAAATTATATACCATGATAAAATTTGAAGGTGCACCTCACCTCTACAACTATGGATGCATCCATATGCAAGCTGCACCCTCTTAAAAAAGGATCGTATACAATGAGACTATTTACCTAACCAGTTGATGTGATTTTATAGTTTGGGTGGGTCAGAAAGTTTGAGAAAATTTCTTTTGAACTTTGAGCTTGATCAATGAAATAAATACAGCCACCCAATTTTATATCCTATGGTCAAGATCAATTGTAACCATCTTATACTATAGGTACATGATCTCATTATATACTTTACCTTTCAAAAATTCTACTGAAAAGTTTGTTTTGATCTTGAAAAGTCACCTAATTGATAATTTCAAATTTGATATATATATATATATAAATTAACTCACAAAAATAGTATATCTTACAATACTTACATTATTTAGGCTGTCCGTTTTCAAGATTTTCATGTACTTATTGATTTGTTTAATTTGAACCATTTTTAGAGTTTTAAATTTTTTATAATTAAAGATTAAAATAGATTCTCAAGCCATCATACAAATATTTTATACCAAAATTATTAGAGGTGCACCTAATTTTGATTATTAAAGCAGCTTCTAGCAAACCATACCCATTTATAAAAGCACACATTTGTTTTGAGGATATAACACATTTGGAAGCGACAAGATTGTCCCCTAATATCCAACCAAAACGCATTTCCCTATTAGAGGATCAACCACAACCGCCCATTCTAGAGATAGAGAGAGATGGGCCCCAAAGTTGCCATTCCATCCCCCTCCTCTCTTTTCTTTTCTCTCTCCCACCTTTCAAGGGACCATGAAAACAAAGTTTTTTCGTCTCAATCTTCTTACTTTTGATTCATGAGCAATGGAATCAAAAGGGCTCCAAAGCACTAGGATTAACGGGCACCCACCCATGAAAGGAAAGTTCATTATAAGAAACGCCACATAGAGCTGGCAACGGATCGGGCCTGGGTCGTGCCCAGTCATGGCCATCACCCTTCTCTATGCCCCGAGGGCCGGGTAGGGTGGAGCCAAACCGAGTACAATTAAAGAAAAACAAAGCAAAAAAAAAAAAAAAACAGAAAAATATAAGGACCAGCCTCAGGCCACATTTTGTGGCCCAGGTCCTAGGTTTTTTTTTATGGCTGGGCCGGGTCATGGCCACCCCTATGTAGGCTTTTTGCATTATGTGCTAAGGTTAGTGTACCTTTCCCTTTTCATTTACGACAAAGTGGGTAGTTTGTACCTTGTAGTTTGAGGAGGGCCTTTCTGATCTTCTTGTAACACCCACGGCAATCTATGTTGATCCTCAGAACCATTTTATATACAACTGGGCCGGGCTCGAAGCCATCTATTTCCGACATTAAGCCGCCACTTTCAGGCCAATTCAATCATGTGGAACTGCCTTAGAAAGAAGGTGGTCTTGAGAGAGAAAGGCATGCTTTTTCTCTCTCTTCTCCCTCTTGGGTTTTTAGAGAGAGAGAGGGGGAGGGGGGTTAATGGATGTGGGTTTTAGGTGGGCGAGTTGTGGAGAATTGCTTTTCTAGTGTTTGATGGAATCAGATTCTAATGTGGTTGGAGAAGGAAGAAGGCGTGAACCCGTCTTCATTCCAATCCTTTGGATTGGCGAGACGTCCACAGAAGCCATTGCAGATTCTCTCTCCTCCCACAATTCACCAGGGGAATTCCTCAATCATCTCACGCAACTCATTCAAGAAACAAACCACCTCTCCCGCACCCTAACAGCCTTTGGCGTGCCAAGTTCCCACTAGGCTAAAAAGTGTTAAAAAAATAAAAGAAATTTAAAAATATGAAAAATATATTTAAAGTGAAATTAAAACAAATCACTTCCGCATGAAATTTAAAAATTAGTAAAAAAAAAATAGATTCTGAAAAATTAATTTGTAACGTGCTGTAATTTTTAGAAATAATCTAGAAAAGGAAAAATGTAAAAAAAATAAAAATGAGTATCATGGCAAACACTTTTCAAGCTTTGCCAAAATGATAGAAAACATTATTTTATATATATATATATATATATATTATTAATAAGTTTTTTTTTTTAATGATTTTTAACTTCTCTTCATTATTATTTATTAATTATTTAGATGACAAACTCAATCCGGCAAACCAGGGGGGCCAAAGTTGACCCGCCCGGTTTTGCAAAGAATGTTTAAGAGAGAGAAGGAAGGGAGGGGGGAGACATTGGGGGTAGCAGATATAGAAAACATATTGTATAAATTTGAATTGAATTCTATGTACGATACAAGAATATGAAGAGGAGGTACTCCTTAGGTGAGAGAGCCAACATTTCTTCTCTCTAAAGCTTAAACAAACACTTCAAACCTTACCCCATCCTCTCTTTCCTTTTTTTCTTCCCCCCAACTTTGCATCTGATAATCACTTTGTTTTCAGCCATATCCAAAATCACAGACTCAGCACACTCTGCCCACAATTGAAGCCACCCATCATAAAAAATTAGATCAAATTAAATAAAAATCACTGTAAAGCTGCAAATTCCAATTGTTAAAGCCAACCATCAAGAATTTTCAGACACAATAAAGCAAAGATCAAACTAAAAGAACACACAAACTTCAAATTCATAAGATCACCCACCATCCATTTTTGAAATCACCATGGACACCTTCTCTCGACAATCGGCACACGACAAATCAGCGGTTAGAACGATCACCTGAACCTGTTCGCCGAAACCAAAATTAGCTCAATTCAGAGAGAGAGAGAGAGAGAGAGAGAGAGAGAGAGAGAGAACGAACTACAGTAGTAGTAGT